AGTCCGTTCTGAACGCTGCTGCTTGAACCCAAAACCCCTATCCCCTAAGCCCTCCTCCCTAAACCTTAAACCCTCGACTTCGAACCCACCACTCTATGCTCTAACCCGGGACCCCACACCCAAACTCTAAAGCCTAGCAGCCCTAGCACACAGCCGCAGATTTACCCCACGAAACCCAACATCACTGTAGAATCCTTATGTTGCCTTCAAAGAACCCTTCAAGAATCCTACCCCTTGTAGAACCCTTATGGAGATTTACTGGAACCCCTGTAGAGCCCTTATCGAGCCCTTTAACCCGAAACCGTAAACTCCAAGCCATAAGCTTAGGTTATAAAACCTAAACCTTAACCATTGCCTTATCCCTAAACTCCCTAAATTCTAAACCCTGCGTGCACCCTAAACCCAGAACCTTGAACTCTGCCGTATAAAATTGTTCAAAAAACATCCCGCAAGCAGGAGAAGGAGACTGCTGAGGACCCGTTGGAAAGCCAAGCCCGGGTCTCACCCGAACCGTCTTTAGAGGTCGTGGAAGGACTTCATAGTACGCCTTTTCCCGAATTTTACATGGCCATATAGGGTTTATAGGATGTGTTTATCGGGTTTTCAATGGTTTTGTGGACTGTTATGAGTCTTATACGTTTGTGAAAACTGTCTTGGGGCTATGAAGAGCCTGATTGAGTTCATTGGAAAAGCGAAACCCTAGACCCTCCTTTCGTCAGCCATCGTGCTACTCGTTCTTGTTTACAAGGTCGACGAAGGTTTGAGGTTGTCATCGTGCAACTGAACACATCCTCAACCCCCAAAGCCAAGAAACGGTTCAGGCGCTATGAGTCCGCCGGTTCTGCATGGAGGTTGCACTGTTGGAAGCAGGTTTTAAAGTAGAGGACGCACCTCGATGGAATTAAGCCCCTAAACATCCCAAGCCTCTGTTAGCTGAAGGTCCTGGCGGCAACTCGCATCGCGGCGCACTGGAAGCGAAAAGCCTTGGCCTTGGGCGGCCGGGGGTCGTTTTGTTAAATAACCTCCTCCCTCCCTCCTCCCTCCACCTCCCTCCTCCTCCCTCCCTCCTCCCTCGAAGTCCCTCCACCTCCCTCCTCCTCCCTCCTCCTCCCTCCTCCTCCCTCCTCCTCCCTCCTCCTCCCTCCTCCTCCCTCCCTCCCTCCCTCCTCCATCCCTGAAACGAGGAGTGTTCGTTCAGGATTCCCACTGTACTTCAGGGCGTGCGTTTTAAGGGCGCAAGCAAATTTTCCTGAGTCTTGAGTCTGGAATCAAGACCCCAAAGTGGAAGCTAGCTGAGCTTTTCGAAGTTACAGTCTAGGGCCAAGGAGGTTCTGTTCCGTAGGACACAGCTGAATTACCTACTTCTGTGATGCTAGATGTGAGATCGGCTTAATTTGGAGATGCTGCCTCCCGAAACCGCCACGGCTTCAGCTGAGAAGTCCGAAATGCTCCAAAAGGTCGACCGGCGGCGCTTTCTCAAGATGCGGGAGGAAGAGCTACCCGTCTTTGTCTAGCAGGCTTGAAGCTTCAAGAACCCTAAACCCTAGAATCATAGAGCTCTAGAATCCTAGAACCCTAAACCCTAAACCCTAAACCCTGAACCCTGAACCCTGAACCCTGTGAACCCTGAACCCTAAGCCCTGAACCCGAAGCCCTGAACCCTAAACACCCCGAGTTCCTTCAGATGGCAGCTCGTAAGACCAAAGGAAAGTAAGCGACTGAGAATGGTCGCGGTTTAGGGTTTAGGGTTTAGGGTTTCGGGAATGCTGCAAGAGAGTTTAGGCCTGGAGTATCCGCTTGCAGGAACATGGAGTAGCAGTTGTAGTGACTGGTGGGAAATCATGTTTTCAGCATGGGAGCAGCCCCCCCGCCCCATGCGATCCTGAACTGATGGCTGAACCCTAAACCCAAACTTTAACCACTGCCGCAACACACCCCACCAGAAACGGGAAACCCCAAAGCCAAACCTAAACCTTCAGCCATGAACCATCCGCACACACTTTCTTCCGACTTCGAAACCCCATAGCCTCGCGATCCTTCTGCACCTCGATGCTGACCCTCTGCAACCTTGGTGGCGTGATGACACATCATGACCATGCTGGTTTCCCAAAGGTTTGAGTTCCTTGGCATGGCACCCCCAAAGAAAGACAAGGCACGGAGGGCTCTTCGGGCGGGTCAGGTTTCGGTGAGGTTTCGGATTCAACCTATCAGATTCACAAGGGCGCCTCGGGCTGAAGAATGGTTTAGGGTTCAGAGTTTTAGGGTTTAGGGTTTACGGGTTTAGGGTTTTTAGGGTTTTTAGGGTTTGGGCTTTAGGGTTTCATAGAGCTTATGGTTTCGCGTGGAGGGATTTTTGGATATCGGGTTCAGGGTTGGAGGGGTTTAGGGTTTGGCTGACAGGGCCTAAAGGGCAGGGCTTTCGGGCTTGAGGAAGGCTTAATCCGGGTCCGACAAAGCTTTCACTCCTGTCAGAGCCTTCGTTGCAAGCATCTGCCTTGAGGAGCACTGTAGCTAGCGCCGCAAGGAAGTCAGTTCAAGGGAGGGCTCAGGTCACAGCCTGTCTCATTGAGGCTCTCTTCTACGGTAGAAAAAGGCCCGCCAAACCAAATCGAAACCCGAAGCCCAAAGCCCTAAGTTTTAAATCCTAAACCCTGCGAGGGAGGGCTCTACCCTAAACCCTAAACCCTAAACCCCAGACCCCCACCTTTTTTTGAGGGAGACACCGACGTCATTGTCGAGATGCAGAAGCACCGGGAGACAAGGAGCGATGGCGATTTCGGGGCTCGAGGTTTAGGACTTAGGGTTTGGGGCTTGGGGCTTAGGGTCTAGGGTTTGGGGTTTAGGACTTCGGGTTTTGGGTTTGGGGTTCAGGGTTTAGGGCTTGGGGTGTAGGACTTTGGGTTTTGGGGTTCAGGGTTTGGGGTTCTAAGGATTCAGGGTTTAGGGTTCAGGGTTTGGGGTTCTAAGGGTTTTTGGTCTTACAGTTTCTACCGCAACAGTGGTGTTTAAATGTCGGAAAAGAGGCTTCCTGATTCAGAGGTTCCGCCAGGGGCTGGGTGTTTGAACCTAAACCCTAAAGCCCAAAACCCAAACACTAAACCCTAAACCCTAAACCCCAAAACCTAAACCCCAAACTCCAAACCCTAAACCCTAAACCCTAAACCCCAAACACCAAAGCCTAAACTCGCTGTCCGGAAGCTGCAAGACCCCTACGCCCTGTCCGGAAATTCCAGAGCTTCCTACGCGTCCCCTAAAAAGCATGAAAAAAACCCCTTAACCCTTAAACCCCGAAGCTACGAAAGCCGTGAAGTTCGGAGAAGTGCTGGTAGACCTAAACCCTAAACCCTAAACCCTAAAGGCCCTAAACCCTAAACCCTAAACCCTAAACCCTAAACCCTAAACCGTGATTCTTAGGATTGAGGCGTTTGAGGCTTCAGGGCTGAAGGCTCTTCAGGCTGCCGGGCCGGGGGTTTACTGCAAGGGTTTTCCCCAGGTTTTAGGGGATTTAGGGTTTAGGGGATTTAGGGTTTAGGGTTTAGGGGTTTGGGGGTTTAGGGTTTAGGGTTTAGGGGTTCAGGGTTTAGGGGATTTAGGGTTTAGGGTTCAGGGGTTTGTGAAACCCAGAACCCCACACTCCCAGTCTTCAGACCCTCAATACGAAACCCGCAACCCTGAATCCCAAAGCCTCAACCCTCACTGCCAAACCTTCAGCCCTCAATCCTAAACCCGAGCCCCTAAACCCTCCGTCCTAAACTCTAAACCCTAAACCATGAAACCCAAAAAACATCTCGCTTTAAGAAAGAGAAGCGAAAGCCTGGCGGAGCGAGGAAGAAGATGCAGGAGGACGCAGACGACGTCTTCGAGAAGGCAGCTTGCTGTGCTTAGGGTTTGGTGGTTTGGGGCTTTAAGGCTTTGAGGAGTTCAGTGGATTTAGGGCTTTAGGGTTTGGGGTTGTAGGGTTTGAGGGTTAAGGGGGGTTTCTAGTCCACGTGCCTGTAGGGACTGGCCCTTGATCCGTTGACATCTCAACATGTGGGTAGTTCTCTAAATTAGGGTCCCTTTTTAGGTGCCCAATATAGTACGGCACCCTTATACAAAGGACTCTAAAAGGGACCCTCATTTAGAGAACTTCCCATGTGTAGCGGTTTTGGGCTTGGAGGTTTTCCTCACCCCAAGGCGTCCCCCCATGCGCTAGGCTGCAGCACTTAACCCTAGGCGAAACTACACCCTGATATCGAAACTTAAGGACCCCTACAAAAGCTTCTTCCCTGCCACAGTGCGGCCCGGAGGGTCCCGAAGACGGGACTTCGGGGTCCATTTCACAGGGCTGAGGGTTCAAGGGTTTAGGGTTTCGGAGTTCTTTTTCGCGGTATTTCGGTTTAGGTTCTGTGGACGTCTCATCCCGGATTCGTGTCTGTCGGGGCTCTTTCAGCTGTATGGCTGCGGCATGTGAGGGCCTTCAGCGCTCAAGGCTTAGGGGGTTGGGATCAGGGTTTAGGAGTTTAGGGTTTAATATAGGAGCCTAAATAATTGCCCTTTACTATTGTGGGGGTTCCTTATTATAAGTATAGATAGTATGATTATGGGCCCCAAAATCTTATTCTAATTATTAAGGCCGCTACAGTAGGGTTTCAGATTGGGGGTTTAGAGTTTGGACGGAGGATGTAGGAGTGAGGGCGCCGGCGAGTCGAGCATCCTGCAACGTTGCTGGTTGGTGCTCTGCTTCTGCTGCCATGCTAACGGGTGGAGTTTAGGGTTTAGGGGTTGGGTTTAGGGTTGTGATCAGGTTCATTGGTGCGGGCATCATGATCTGATACTGTGATGGGATTTGGGGCATGTTGACACACTGTTCTACAGGCACTGAAGGAGCAGCTTGAGTGGCTTCAGAAGAAGAAGGGCGCAGACATCAAGGCGGACGGGAGGGGGCGTTTTAGCTGAGGGTCGTCAGGGAATTGAACCGGAAGGGCCCCTAGCACCTGCACATCAGCAAAGCCAAGTTTCGATCTCCATAACTCGCGCCTGCCCTCGTAAGTGGCTTACGTCTAAGTGCCGACATCTCAAGCCCTGGACCGTACTTTTTTTCCAAGGCCTGTTTGCATACTTCTACGTGCTTTCCACTGCATGCCTTTCCCGTTATGGAGCTTTAGAGCAGAGCCCCTGAGCACTCTATGCCCGTCTCTCACAACGAAATACTCGCAACCCAAACACAAAAATCTCTAACCGTAAACTAAAACTTAAACACCAAACACAAAAAGCCAAACGCTGGCCTCCGTGCACCTTCCTACAAGCCCTTCCAACACCATGGACGGCAATCAAAAAGACCCTGGGCCCAACACCCCCAAGCCTGGAGAAGCTCAAGCGCGCTCATTTTGGAGTTTTCAGCCTGCGAAAAGCTCAAGATGCGCGCGGATGAACTCTCCCAACCCGCAAGCCCTTCCCCGAGCCTGGAAAAGTTCAAACGCGCTCAGGTTGTTTTTTTTTTTTTCTGCTCGAGGTCTAAGCCCTAGCCCTCAAGATGAAACCCCAGAAGCCGGCAGCCCTAGATCCGGAAACCCCCGAAACCCCAAAGCCGAACACACCAGGTCTTAAAGCTAAAACCCACTAGAGATGACACCTTCAAAGTTTTTCGACAAGAAAGTCCAAGACTCCTGGTTCTGCCCAGGCCGAGTTGCTGGAAGAGCGACGGCAGTGGATCCTGGACTACTGCCAAGCCTCTCACTCAGATTCCTAGGTTTAAAGTCTAAGGTTTAGGGCTTCTGGATTATTATATAGTATAGTTGCTTCATTATACTCTACTATAATTATTTCCGATTCTGTACTCGGGGTTTGGGCTTAAGGGTCTAGGCTTCAGCGTTCAGGCTTGAGGCTTGTGGATTTGGGGTTCTACTGGTATTATGCTTTTCCAGGCGGTTCATAGGAGCTCCGATAGGAGCTCCGAAAGGAGCTTAGAGGGTTTATACGGCTTTGGTTGAATGGGGATCTATCGGGGTTGCGTGCTTTTGAGGTCAGGTTGCTCTGCGGGTCCATTTTCAGAGGGGCCGAAGGGGATAAGCTTTCTAATACGGAGGCCCTGAAGAATTGGCGATCGGATTCCGCCGGGTTCGTAACACATTCATACAACAAGAAACCCCCAGAAACCTTATACTAATTGTGAACTGTTAAGACCTCTACATCAGATATTTTTACGATTTTCAGACCTTCCCTGATCCAAGCTGCGATCTGAAAAGTATGCCCACGGCGTGGACAAGGCTTCTGATGTGTACCAGATCGGGACAGACCCCAACACAGTTTACACCCTAAACCCTGAGCCCTGAACTAGCTCCTCCGCCTACTGATGTCCCAAGTTGGCAAGCAGCAAAAGAGCCTTGAAACAAACAGAACCCTGAACCCAGAACCGTGAACCCGAAGCCCTAAACCCTAAACCCTAAAACCCTAAAGCCCTGAACCGTAAAGCCCTGAACTAGACCCAAACCCTAAAGCCAGAGGAACTCCAAAGCAAACCCTTACCGTCATAGTTCTTGTGACGCTAAGCGTATTCCTCATAGAACCCGTAAATTGGGGGTTTAGGTTTAGGAATTTGGCTTTAGGTTTAGGGTTTAGGGTTTAGGGATTAGGGTTTAAAGCCCTTGTAGTGACACTAACAGTGACCCTTATCGCCCTGGTTCTTAGCAGGGAATGGGGGATTGGATCTCTATGATAGTCGCTGAAGGTCCTGTATAGTACTCCCAATAACCCGTTCCCCCATTCCCTACTACGAACCCGCATCATAGAACCTAAACCCTAAACCCTAAACCCTAAACCCAAAACCCAAAACCCAAAACCTCTAAACCCTAAACCCTCAACTTACTTCTTCCAAGGATCCGGAGCACCAGAAGGAGTTCCCTGAGAAGCCGGGTCCTTCCTTGGGAGTTCACAAGACTCCGAAGACCCCTTGGGTTTAGGGTTCAGGGTTTAGGGTTTAGGGTTTAGGGTTCAGGTGTAAAGAACCTGAAATCCTAAACCCTAAACCCTATACGAACACCCAAGGTGGGACGAAGGCGGATGGGGGGGGTATCCCAAATAAGAGTCGTTGTCTAGGAGATCCTTTATCCTATCTTCCTTCCTCCCACCTTGCGAGGTCCCTCACATGTAGGTTCCTGGAGAAAAGGTGGAGTTGAGGGTATGGGGCATCGAGGTTTTAGAGTGTATAGCGGGTCGTCGCATCAGCAGCGGCAGCGGCAGTGGCAGCCGCAGCCGAAGCTGCAGCCGCGGTCGCCAAACTAGCAACAACAGGTACTACTTACGCAGTAATGGCATATAGCTGGCAACAAAACAAAGTATTGGGCGTACTAGTAGCAACAATGACATGAATAAGCATGGTGCGAATTGCTGTGTGGAGCAGGATCGCTCTGAACACTAGTACCGGTTGTCATCAAGCTAATTAATATAGTTCACAGTGGTGACAGTCAAGTGATTGCAGTGTCGTAGTGCTGACAGTAGCCATGCACACTGAGAGTCGCAACAACTTGTGCTTTCAAGATCCCTTTATGGTCACAGTACATCGTTTCCCGAGTCTGTTGCAATTCATCGGGCCTCAAAACTCTCCCCAGAAGTGGAGCTTCGTGAAGGTCCTACTTCACATAAACTAAAGCGGGTCGGGGGGGGGGGGGNNGGGGGTGCGCGCTCGCCATGTCAGAGGAGCTTCAAACTGTGGCCAAAACGTTTCCCCAACCTTGCCTCGTCAATCCGTTCAACGACAAGGAAGCCCTGCTGCACAAACCCCGTATCTTAGAGGCAGGGTAGGTAACCTAGAATCTGTTGAGTAGGTATCCTGTAAACTTTTTGGGGCCACAAAAGCCCCTATGGGATTCTGGACAACTAAGGGACTCAACATTAGCAAGCATGCAATACTGAAGCCCGCTAAACCCTAAACTCCAAACC